CATTTACCAGTATTTCCTATTACAATTTGACCCTAAACCTAGCCTAAACTTTACACAGGATGCGAACTGGGCTTATGTCCCCATAAGAAACAGTGGGTCCTCACCAGGCTGTGTGGTTTGCTTCATCTCTAAAGAGATGCTGCTCTTTAATAATGTTTATTTACTGTCTTAGTTGTGTGTGGTGTTTAATTTACATTTTGTTGTTCTTTGGGTTTTTTTATTCAAGTGCATTTTTGTTAGACTGAGAGTCCACTTTGTTAAACATTCTTTAAAAATTAAAGTTTATTGATTAACACTTACATATTACGCTTTTATAATTATTAGTTGTAAAACGGTCACCAGGCAATATTATCGCTTATCGCAATAATTTGTGAGACAATTAATCGCCCAGCAAAATTTGTTATCATGATAGGCCTAGTGAACAGAAGTGAAAAATTGTACCAGTGGGAATAACCCATAACGCATTGAAAACTGAGCCACAGGCTAATCGAGGCTAATGCTAACGTCTGCAGGTTTTTACAGAGAATTTTAGTCTGGCTGAAAAATGTCTTTAATTATCTGAACGTTTCTGATTTAAAGGGAAACACATTTAAAAAAAATGTGTTTAAGCCTAAATTTGAAACATTTGAATGATGAGCTGTAAATCACAAGCTCCATATAAACTTGTTTTTATATTTTACACACATACCACAACATTAAAATCCGTTCTGTTCAGAAATATTTTCTAGGTGATATTTAAAGCATTTGTGATCATTTCAGTCTTTTCTCCAGTGATCTGTTTAAGTTTTGTCTGCATCCTGTCAGCAGACTAGTTACTCACTTTTAGTTTCTGTGTGAGCGAATCTTTTTGAAACTTGAACTCGTTGGCACCCTCCACCTCTGCTTTGAGGCTCTCCAGCTCCTGGAGGGGAAATGAGAGGAAACGTTTTAATCGGTCTGTCTTCAGTTTCTGTGTCCTCCTCTCTGGGCTCGTCTCCTCGTTACCTCCTCCTTGGCCTTCAGAGCCAACTCCAGCTCCTCTATAGTTCTGTTGAGTTCTGTTTTCTGGGATTTGATCACCGTCGTCTGGCCGCTCACGCACTCCAGCTCCGTCACCTGCAGAACAGAGCACAAACATCTGAATCCAGACCGGACTGAACTGGGAGTCTGTCCTGGACTGAGTGGTACCCGCTTGTGTAGCCTCTCGGCCTCTTCCTGATAGGCCGCCAGCTGCTGTTTCCACTGTTTGACGTTGGCCGTGGACTCCAGCAGAGCCGCCGTCAGTTTGGCATTGTTCCCCTTCAGCGCCGCCAGCTCGGCCTCCCAGTGCTTACTGATGCTGGAGGAACTGGACACATGAGGAAAGGCAGCTGTTAGCAGCAACAAGTATCTTACCAAAAAATTATTTTGGTAAAAGTTAAAGTCTCCTTTAGGAGTATTACTTGAGTAAAAGTCTTAAAATATCTGATATTTTTGTACTTAAGTATTAAAAGTAAAAGTATTGATTTAAAATAAGCAGTTAGATTTTCTGTAATAACATTTATTAGGAGGTGACCTCCCCAAAACAATGCAGAAATGACTGTTTTAAAATAATTATGTTAAATTTAGGATGCACTAGTCCAGCTGTTTCAGTTTACATACAGCGGGTAAAATAAGTATTGAACACGTCACCATTTTTCTCAGTAAATATATTACTAGAGGTGCTAATGACATGAAATTTTCACCA